TCTAACTAGGTCAAGTTTACTGTCGACCTCTTCATTGGTTGGTGAAACTAGAAAACTGAAGACAGCAATCAACACCGTTGCACTTCAGTTTGAGGTCCGTGATTGTGTAAACTGAAACTGAAACTTGATCCCTGTTTCTCTACCTCTGGCTTATGGATCGCGAATATATATATCCAGGACTTTTTTGTTTTTTGTGTCCGAGACACTTTTCATACTTCAGCTTTACTTTCATACAACAATCACTTGCCATTATTTTCTCTTATTGAACATATTGTACATTAGGCTTTCCGTTTAATTGATGATCCAAAACTAACTTCTCCTCTACAGTCGCCAGTCCACTGCGGAACTATTATTTCACTTTTCCTTTTCTGTACCAAGCTATACTGACTGAGCTGTGCTTGTCGCGTGCCTGATTTTAGTTCATCATTTTTTCTCGAGAACCATTAAACTGGGAAACTNACTCTGACCCCCATCATATGCATTCTGTATTTGGTACAATATTTATACTTAAGAGTAAAAAGGTGGAGGGTATTAATCACACTCACACTTTACTGCTTCTGGCGGTAGTCATTGGTCTGATTGTGCATTGAGGTGTATTAAAATTCTTGACCGCTTGAACCCTTGGAATTCTCGACCCTCTCCAAAGGGCGCATGATCCGATTAATTGGGCTTCGCTACCTAATAAACGACAGTTTTCACACGCCTCCGTGCTGCGTTCTCGGTTAGGCTTTGACTATTTTAAGGCTTTAGGTGTAAATCTTCCAAGAAAATTCGCCCTCATTTGGCCTGGCAGTATTCTGTGCACGAGCGATTCATGGATTTATTTATTTTTATAAGAACCGTTGCACAGTTATTTGTTTAAATCATTCTGGACTCAGAAACGTGTAAAGTAACATAAACATTGAATCACATGTCGTTGAATGGTCTACTCAGTTGTTTTTGTTGTATTATACTTACCAGTATCTTCGTTAATCATACAGGTATAAATTCGTTAACCACTGATCACGTCATCTATCATGTTCGTTTGTCGCAACTGAGATTGCATCCGTGCATTGTTGTTTTTCATTGTTTCTGCACAGAACCACAGAACAAACTGATCGTGACTAAAGGTGTGCGTCCGGATACTGATATACCTGGCACTATAGGACGGGATAGTGACCCCACACCTATGGAACAAATATTTGTCCGCGCTGGGGAACCGTTGCCACCTTCGTTAGCCGATTACTTTAATCCACCACTGAAACCGGTTGTTGAGGCACAATCCCCGATAGGGGTTAATGGAGCTGCTATGCGGACTTCCATCATGCAAAAAGATGATATATCTGCCGATGATGTAGAACTGGAGAAGGACAGTACCAATTCAGTAAGCTATTTGTGCAATATTCTCTTACACTTTAGCAATAAGGTTGTTCAGGAATTAGTGGCTGTTGAAAAAGGGTTTTCCCGACCAAAAGAGTATTTTTTTGCCCTGTAAAAGCTGATTTCGCTGGGCAGTAATCGGTGCCATCATCTGCCGTTTATTCTTCCTATGCCCTTAACACTGGTTTGATGTGTTGATTTGCCGATCTCTGCGTCCCGGTAAAGTATGCACATTCAATTTATCCAACCGGAGTTTCAATTATATCTTGTTGACACTGAACATTACACGAAGTGAGATGTCGCTCCATGAGTGATTCTTCTTTAATTCGCCCATATTCACCCCTGAAAATAATAGATCAAACTACACAGAAACTACAGTTTTCTACCCAGAAAAAGCACTCAAAGTAAGTCTAAGATCACCGTTTCTTTCAATGGCTAGATAATTCTGTTTATTTCACGAATCATCTGATCAGTTTATGAATCACTTAAACAGGTCGTAGCCAATAGGGTTTTCTTCCTGTTTTTATTTCAGTCAATTCCAACAACTAAAAGAGTCACAATTTCCTCGACGAGATAATCCGATCTCAATCCGTCCTTGAGGTTGTGTCCTTAGTTGTTGCAAGCTATCTTATACGATTGCAAACATCACCCGACACCTAATATCCTCGCAATTTAAGGCTTACTCTGAAATCCCTGACGCTCATTTCAGACGGTTGTCTTTTTTGCCTACTTGACCCTCTTCTACGATTGAGTTGAACAGCCGCTTTTTTTCCTTTGATCAGAAAGCTTAATTTCGAAGTACGCAAATTCAAATTTCTATCTGGTTTTGTTCATGGTGTATACACCTGGTTCCTCTTAGTATTGCATTATGTTAGAATCTCTGAACTCCTAACGATGAATGTATGAATTAGTCCCAAAAGTCTCCGGTTTCGGTCATCACATTTCGGGTTCGGTACCGAAATCCTTCTAGTTTTGGGACTACATCAAGTGTCGCTGCGATGGAGCGTACGTTACCGAATTGGATTACGATCCTCATGTGAACAGTATGTGTTTCCTTGAACTTTTCCACACTAGTGAACAACAATAGAATGAGATACCGGTGCTTCTTCAGAGTGCCTGTGCATACACCAGCAATCGGCATTTGTTTTGCTTACCCCAGATTTTTTTCGTTTTCTCAATTATGTACACTCACGCCTCTCAAAGTAATTTCAGTTGAGAATGAAGAGTAAACAGGACTGGTGTTGACGGATGACAGCGTTGCTAGTTTTTCAAACATAATTGCAGGTGCAAATCTGTTTAGCACATTTTGATTAACAGCACGAGAAATTTCTCGATCTAGCGACGGACTGATTATTCCGTGCACACGCTTTCTAAAATCGCGTGCTCACTTCATTCAATCGGAACGTTTTAGCCGTGCATCGGTTCACGGTCAGACTAAATGTGAAGTCCCCTCCACTTTGTTGTTTACTATTCGAACTTGAGGGTGTTACACGAAAATCATTCAGCCGGATTAACTTGATTAGGTACAAAAAATACCAGTCCGTACTCAGTATCGCATACGCCTCTCTCTCTCTCTCTCTATATATATATATATATATGTATATATATATAAAGAGAGAAAAAGAAAGAAAAGGATACATTCACGCCACTCACTTCGGTTTGATGCCATATTCAGCCAAACACAATCTGAAACTCTGGGGCCCCTGCTCGGAGAGGCCACGTTTCGCAGCCATAGCAACACGGCGCTTACCGTTGCACCCTTTCAGTGAAAGGGATATGTTGCGCCGGGGCCGAAGATGCCGCAGATCAGCAAACGCTAACCTACCTAGAATTACGCGTTGAGAGATCTCCTCGCCTACACCTCCGCCAGCCGTTATGCAACTCCCGAGGTAGTCAAAGTCTCTGACTACTTCCAGAGTGTGTTTACCCAACAAAAGTACAAGAACAGGTCCCTGCCAATCTTGCATTTTGAAGGTGCAAAGGACATATCACAACGAGTCACCTCAACTGCCAAATGATTCAGCGAATCTTAAATCGTTGGTGAGTTGCCATCGAGCAAGGCAATACCAACCACGTACTCTAAGTCTACAATTCAGTCCCCAGGAACAAGCTCGACGCCAGCGTTCGTTGCTGTAATCCCCACTTTTTGTAGAACATCATCTATGCCAAAGTTGAAGAGAAACGGAGAGAGAGCAACCCTGTCATACCCCACTGATGACAGGAAATGAAGATGAAAGATCACCATACCTTCTCCGACGTCTGGCGATGGAGCGCTTTTAAAAGCAGAACATACTTCCTGAGTACTCCATATATCAGCAAGCAGTTGCACACTGTGGGGTCATCGATAAAGTCGAAGGCCGCTCTGATGTTCAAAAACACGACGATAGTTTCTTGTCTCTGTGTGGCTGTGTTCTAGTAGCTGACGAAAGGTGAGGATTTGATCTATGCAACCGCTGCGTTCAGGAAACCCAGCCTGCCCTTCACGGATTTACATTTCACGAAACGGGCTTAGTCTGTGTAATAAAAAGGGCGCTAGAATCCTCGACGCTATTGGAATTAAACTTATGCTCCTGTGGTTGGAACAGGCTTTGCGACNCTTTGCGACAGCCCTTGTGGATGGGTGTAACAGTCGATTCTCCCCATGTGTTGGCTACACTTTCAGCTTCCCAGATCTTAGAAAACTGTCTAAAACTGTCTTCATCTTTAAAAGGGTTATGTGTCAGGTTGTTTGATCCAACCGCCTTGTGGTGTTTCGGCGCTTGGAGTTCCTTTCGGATCTCCGTTTCTGTAAGCGGTCCCATGGATAGTGACCAGGGTGCACTCTCAAGAGAACTACTTGAAGCAACTAACACGGGAGACTGATTGAACTGAGATGTAAAGTGGGCTGTCCAGCGTTTCAAGTTTCGGTGAAAACTGTATATTAGCGTGCTGTCTACTTCGCAGATTGTTTCACCAACGCACTGTCTCTTGGGGCCTGTAGCAAGGATGAGTTGGAATAGTTGCCGGGTGTTTCCGCACCTTGCTGCTAATTCCATCTCCTTTGCACGCGGCGTCCACCAAGTATCTCGGTCGTCTCTCAAACTCTTTGTGAGTTCACACTTCAAAGGGAGAAACACTGTTCACTATATTAGCTGTCTGTCGGTGTGTTGGGAAGTCTTGTTTGAATTGCTCGTTTGTTTTACTGCATCAATTGCANTTTTTATGAGTGGTCCGCGGAAGACTTTAATTTTGCCCGTCGAACAATCTGATTGGTTCGGGGTTATATATAAACCCTGTGCTTCGTGTCCAGTGGAATATAGAAAATATATCGAGAGCATTTCCTGAAGAACTGACTTTTGACAGTCGGGATCGCCCGACTTACATTGAGAAGTCTGAGAGAGTTGAAGGAGACCCAGTGTTTTACAACTTAACGGGTCAGAACACAGCTTTGTAATCTATCTGA